TGGGGGTAACCATGCGATGGACTAGCATCCCATCCAGGGGGGAGTAGAAATACTCCTAGTCTCTTCATGCTACAGAAACTCGGATAAGCTCCAGCCTGATGGGCCACTTGGCTCGTATGCAGACTTAACCTTACCTACCTCACCCAGGCGATTACCAGACGAGCCACTCATTTTTCATAATCTCAAGGAATTAAGATCCCTTAGACTGCCATTTGACAAAACGTTCCAATCTTATTTGTATTCAAGGAATAGCAGACGGGCACAACAAAGATGGTGACGAAGAACTGCGGAAAAACGAATTTGACAGGGCCATCGATTGCTACACTGAAGGAATTGAAGTCAAGTGCAAAGACGACCGTTTAAATGCCCTGTTATATACAAACAGGGCAACTGTGCAATCCTTAGTGGGTGAGAATTTCAGTTGTCATCTGATTCTGAGGTAGCCAGTAACAGGTAATCGGCAACGAAAGAACCAAAATCAACCAAAGAGATAAATCCGCTCGTTATTGTGCCCGTTCTCTACAATCTTTAGGTCTAACATTGTTTTTGTTTTAAAAGTGTCGAGAAAATTCTCTTCTTTGGTTAGACGGTGTGCAAATTACCAGGCACTTCAGTATGATCTGAACATTGTATAACCATAGTTAGTTACTTCTGAACCCAAGTGATTTCAAGAACAATTCAGTACTTTTAAGACCAACTACTTTGATACACAGTTTGTTCTTAAGGAAGCTTGAATTGCAGCCGAGCCTGTGGAGCTGTGTACAAGAAACAAATATTTTAAAGGAAGATTGATGTCGGAAGAACTTATGTAGAAACTATACGTGTGCTACTTTTGAAAAAAGTAGTAATAAGTACACGGCAAGTTTGAAACGCTGCAAAAAAATAGGTGGCTCTCATTGTAAGCAAGATGACGACTCCATAGTCGACGATCTCTGGTCCTGTGCAAGGCAAAAAACCAAAACCAACGGAAACAACTTAAACAACCTGCTCTTCTAGAGCATTTCCAACAAGGCAACTCACTCGCTATCTGTCTGAACTAGAAATAGCATCGTAGAGTTGTAACTTAATGTTTAGATGCTAGTGTGATCCTTTCTTATCCTAAGTTCAATAAAACACGTATTTTGTCACAGGTAATTATGATGATGCTTTGAGGGATGCAAAATTGGCTAGAAAGTTTCAACCAACTTTTGTGCACGCCATACTGACAGGTAAAGTTACCATTGATATTGTTACATATCTTGAAATGCCATATGCACAGATAAACAGGCAGTGAAATAAGATTATTGACATGTATTGCATGGGGAGCTCTCCTCCCATCAATGTAGCTCGGGTTCGATTCTGTCCAGATGCCATGTGGGTTGAGTTTGTTGTTGGTTGTCGCCTTGCTCCGAGGGGTTTTTCTCCGGGTGCTCCGGTTTTCCTCCCTCCTGAAAAACCATCATTTCCAAATTCCACTTCGACAGGGATAGAGGACCCGAATGAAAACTAGGTAAGGCTGATGTGGCTTCCTCTCTAAATGTTGTAATTTATTGATTATATACATAACTGAGAAAATTCCTTCACTGTGGTTGGCTGAGGGCAGGCAAGTCTATCGTTAATTTTTAACTTGCACTGCAGTTCGTATTGTAAAATACAGGCGCGTTTACAATTTTTTTCTTCATATAAGAAATGAGTAATCGTATGAAGCCGGCTTGGGCCATTGACGATTTTACACTCTTTCAAACTGCACTCGCCCAAAAGCTCGTGCAATTTTTAGCCGAAGAATTTTCAATTATCACTTGTAGTGTAAATCCTTAATTGCACATGCATTTGTGCACGGTTATCCACACATATTGTTATTTACCCAACGGATGAACTGTAGAACAACAGTACAAAAGCGAGATCCCGGCCATAGTGAAGTTGTAATGACCAAAACCCCTTGAACGTAATAGTTGGTAGTTATCATTGTCGCATATGTTACTCACCCATTCGCTCTTTGTTCATAACATTAGGAGCAACAGCCTGTTTTGAGCTGGCTATGTTTGAAGAGGCAGTTACTTGGTGTAACGACGGATTAGCTGTATCCTTTTATGCTTGTAGCAAAAACAAATCGGAGATTCTGGTTTCCAAGTCGGCATCTCTTTCGATCTCTTTGACTTATTAGAAGAGGTACTTGCATTCGTGTGTATTGGAGTTATCATTTTTTGAACTCTAAAGCAGAATTGGATCGCAAAGCATTAATTAGAGAGGACATCTTCTTTCTTGCCTCATGCAACAGAAAAAAATCCTCCAGGAGAAAATGCTTCCTTCAAGGTGACCTTGCGCAGGTGTGCATGCAATGCAAAGTGCGAAATTACGTAATATCAACTTTTACTACAGGTAAAAAGTGCACGTGGAAAAGATCTATCGAGCATTAATTGTTATCGCCAACAAGTTACCCTCTGGTCTGCCGACACCTTATTGCCTAAATACAATGAACCTCTTTGGCTTGGGCGGTTTGTTGCCCACTTTCAGACCATGTCATGACACTCTTGAGAATTCTTAAGATAGTCGCTTGTATATGAATGAATAATTTTGAGGTGGATAAAGAAAGAATTCTTTAGAGAATATTACGTCGTCTGTAATGGGAAAAAACCGCCCAAGCTAAAATGGTCTATTTGGTTGGCTATGTACCGTTGTACAAGCTTTTACAGAAGTAGATAGGGACATTAAATTTGTTGTTTTCGTATCTTAACCATCGTAAGATAGACAACGAAGAAACGACAATGCTCGAGTTAAGGGAAAGGTTTCTTATTGAACTATGTCAACTAAGAAAAGAAGAGGAAAACAACGCATCGCCCCGCTCACAAAGCAATCTGGGATTGGTAAGAATGTTTTGCTATGTCAAGATGCAGAAAGGGTTTTGATTCGTTGGCTCTTGCGTGGAGTCAATGAGAGGTTTACGTTCGTACTGGGAATATCTTCACGCGGTAAGCCTTGGTAAAGAGATTGACACGCTGCCGGTTCCAAATGGTCTCGGTCTTTGGAAGTATAGGTTATTGACCAAGCGTGAGGGCAAGATGGCTGGATATTGTCCAATTTTTTGTTTTATTTCCTCGTGCTTATGGACCGAGACGGAGTCGAGGTCCGTAAACTCCCAGAAAATGAACGGGGCCAATATCCCCGCTCGGGTAACCAATCACAGCGCAGGATTCGGTTCATCTAGCCCGCTCGCGGAGCTAGCCATATAATAATGATAAGAGATATTGTTTTTAAGCGTTATAGTTGTCAACCAGTCAGAATCAACAGAAAGTCTTTACAATAGCCTGTGCAGCTGGCCGGATCAGTTTCGCGTGCAACAACTTAAAAGCCGCGGGTAGAACGTAATCTCTCGAGAATCTCTACGTGGCCTCAGTACCCAAGTCCGCAACTCCCTCGCCAAAAGAAATCTTGCCAGCTACGCCGGCAGGCTGTATACACGATAGTTTGATTATCATATTATATTTGTTAATTAACCACTTGCGAGTTGCGAGAAGCGCGTTTCGGTTTGAAAATTGCGTATTCGAGTTACCAGATCCGTGTCAGTCTGGTCTGTTTATATGACCGGGTTTTGGCGGACCGGCGATGAGTACCGTTTCCCAGGTAATTTACGAACCATTCGTTTCTGTTCCTAAATTTACACATTTGTCATGGTCGAATGAAAAACCTTCTAGTTATAGCCAAAATTGAGGAGCCGAAGTTCCTCCCAGAAATTTCCGTTCTATTCCATTTTACTCCTAAAGTGTTTAATTTAGTTTGCATTTTGGAAATTCACAGATTTCGGCTTTTCTAAAAACTTACCATGTCCATACCGTTTCTTCGCCTACTTAAATTTCCGAAGGTTTGGGCGAATGGAAAGCGCCGAGCTAGTGTTGTTGCGCCAGTTACGTCACATGATAAGTTCTAGTCCAGTAGGAAACTGTATTTCAGTTGAAGATATAGCAATTAAATGCTATTGTCCTATTTGAATTTCGTTTTAGGATTGGACTTTACAAAAACTGATGGATTTCCACAGTAATTACCATAGAAGCGTGTCAAGAATGATAGGTGGAAATGAGTACGATACAGTCTACTTTAAATCGGATCTTGCGATTTGCAGTTTAAAGGGTCTGAGAAAAGGCGTAAACTCTTTCAAACGATGGTTTAGTCGTAGCGCTGAAGAAACTGTGGAAAATGGCAGTGATGGACAGGTAGCTGGATTCAGCTGTCTTCCAGGCAGCAAGGATACGAAGTTTATGATAGGTTATTACGAATTGGAACTCAACGTTAACAAGAGAATCGGGTACAAAGCCGGAGAAGGAAGAGCTTATGACAACCTTGGAATCGCTTTGCAGATGTCTGGGGATTTCAAACAAGCCATAGTCTGCCATAAAGAACACCTCAACATAGCTCTGGAACTGAAGGATCGGGCAGGAGAAGGCCGTGCATATGGTAATCTTGGCGCTGCTTATTGCTGTATGAACGATATGGACCAAGCCATTGATTTCTTCAAGCTAAATCTGAGTATCTCCAAAGAAGTTGGACAAAGGGCTAGTGAAGGACGTGCGTGCAGTTGTCTGGGTCAAGCTTACGTGACGCAAGGCAAATTTAAAGAAGCTGAGGATTATTTCAAACAACACCTTGTTATCGCAAGGGAATTAGGAGACAGGTCAGGGGAAGGACTAGCATGTGGCAATCTTGGGCTTGTCTACAGCTACCAAGAGGAATTTCAAAAAGCCTTAGAATATGGGGAAGAGTTTTTGTCCATTGCTAAAGAAATTGGAAACAGCGATTGGGAAGGAGAAGCCTATGGGAATCTTGGCGTTGCGTACCACAATCTCTCCGACATTGAGCAAGCAATAGATTACTATAAGTTGCATCTGTCTATTGTCAACGAGATGGGACGAAGAGAAGTAGAGCAACAAGTATATACTTCCCTTGGTAGTGCTTACTATAGTCACCGTGATTTCAAACAAGCTGTTGAATACCACAGATTGAGTCTGAATGTCGCCAAAGAATTGGGAGACAGGTCCTCAGAAGCAAAGGCGTATGGAAGTTTGAGCGATGCCTACAGCTGTCTCAATGATTATAAGCAAACTGTAGAATACGGAACTCTAAACCTGACAATTTCCAAAGAAGAGGGAATCAAGAGTGAAGAAGCCGCTGCTTATGAAAGGCTTGGCAATGCCTACCTTGTTCTTGGTGATGTTGAGCAGGCTCTTGCTTATTACAACCAACGTCTTCATGTTGCGACAGAAGTAGGAGATATATCTGGTGAAGGGTGCGCGTACGGACTTATCGGGACTGCATACCAAAGCCTTGGTCAACTTGAAAGCGCAGTGGAATACCACCAGCGACATCTTTGTATTGCTGAGGTAACGGAGAACATGACTGAACAAGGACATGCGTATCGCAACATGGGCGTCGCCTATCAGAGTCTGGGAGAATTCAAACAAGCCATAGAGTGTTTTGAAAAGTTTCTTGGCATAGCAAAAAATGCCGAGGAGAGAGAAAACGAAGGAATTGTTTATGGCGACCTTGGTGAAGCCTATCTCGGTCTTGGCGACTTTCAACGTGCTATTCGCTATCAAGAATTGCGCCTTAGCATCGCCGAGGAAGTAGGAAGTAAGGTGGAACAAGGGAATGCCTACTACGCCCTCGGTAGCGTTTATGAACAACTTGAGAACTTACCTGAAGCTTTCAACTGTTTCCAGTTGAGTGTTCAACTCTTCAAGGATGTGAAAGCTTGTTTCCAGTCCAAAGACGACTGGAAAATAAATTTTCAAGAAAACTGTCAGTGTGCGTACATCGGTTCATGGAGGGTCTTGGTTAAGCAAGGGAAATGGATTGACGGACTCCTTACTGCTGAGGAAGGACGAGCGCAGGCATTGATGGATTTAATGACTTCACAGTATGGGCTTCAAGGAAGTCTTCCTGAACCTGATGTCCAGGAGAAGGGCGTGCTTAATCTTCAGCCTAATACGCTGTTTTTAGCGCTTGACGAGAATATGCTGCATAGGTGGTTGCTGCTTGAAAACAATGAAGTCCTTTACCGGGCTGAAGAAATTGAAACTGAGAGAGGAACGAATGCCAAGGAATTTTTCCAGTCATTAAACAACCACATTTTTAAAGAAATTGAAATCGGCACCGCTGTCCGCTGCGAGGACCGTTCACTGGATGTCCTGAGGCAAGACATAGTTACATGCAGAAACAAGAAAGCCGACCAGAAAATGCCACAGTCTTTCCATCGCAAATACGGGGCTTTGCACTGGCTTTATGAAATTATCATAGAACCATTTGTAGACTTGGTGGAAGGAAATGAACTTATCATTGTTCCAGATGGTCCGCTGTGCTTGACACCTTTTTGTGTTCTCCTGGACTCAAATTCCAGATTTTTGTGTGAGACATTAAGACTCCGAGTAGTTCCTTCGCTATCCAGCTTGAGAATGATTTTAAATTGTTCCGATGAATACCACAGCAGACATGGTGCACTTCTTGTTGGCGACCCATTGGTGGAAGAAGTTGTTATCAATGGAGAAAAACTTCCGCAGCTCCCCTTTGCCAGAATGGAGGTAGAAATGATCGGAGACATTCTTTTGGCGGACCCTGTCACAGGAGCTAGAGCCACAAAAGATGAAGTGTTGAGAAGACTGCAACAGGTCGCTTTAGTACATATTGCTGCGCACGGTTGTTTGAAAACTGGTGAAATTGCTTTGTGTCCAAACCCTACACGTGCATCCCGAACGCCGGAATATGATGACTTTGTATTAACAATCTCAGATGTCTTAGAAGTGAAATTGCGCGCCAGGCTTGTCGTGCTAAGTTGCTGTCATAGTGGCCAAGGCAAGGTTAAGGCTGAGGGTGTGGTTGGCATCGCTCGAGCCTTTTTGGCTGCTGGTGCCCGTTCTGTTCTTGCGTCACTATGGACGATTGATGACGAAGCGACTAAGGAGTTTATGAGACGTTTTTACCAAAACCTTTTGGGAGGACGACGTGCGAGTGAGTCACTGAATCAGGCCATGAAATGTCTCAGAGAATCACACAATTATGGTGATGTGAAATACTGGGCTCCTTTTGTACTCATTGGTGACGACCCGGTATGCGATTTTGGTAAGAATAAACGGTAGTATCTTTTTTTATTATTATGTCTATTATCTGAATTTTTGCGAGCATCGATTCTTACGCAGAATGAATCAAACGAGACGACGAAATAGCAGGTTCCTGAAAAGCGCTTTCGTTGGTTTGAATTGCTTGTTTTTACAAGAGTGCAAAGCGTGGACACAGTGCATTTGAATCGGGACGAATTCCTTAGTTATCAGCAGTTTTTTGAAGCGCGCGAACCAGTATTGTACTGAAAGGGAGATCTAACGATTAAAACAGTACAGCTTTACAACAAAATGAATGAGAAGACTTGAAGTGGCGTTCCAGTTTATTGACGCAATTCAGACGCTCTTTAAAAAGAACTTGTTTGAAGCCCCCTGTTTTATACAAAAGTAGATCTTTATTGAGAAAAAAAAAAAGAAAACTTGACTGGGACTCAAGGAAGGGGCGAAAAACACTAACAAGAGGAGAAAATTGTACATAGAAGTACGAGACGCAGATTTCTTTCACGAGCGTTCTTGAGAATTCACAAGTGCTTGTAATATAAACAATGAATGAGGAGAAGGTTGGCCATTTGCTTTAAAAAGTGTCCAAGAAAGACAAGCCGATTTTCTAACATATATAGCTCCGAAGCTTAGCAGACTTAAAAAAAAGATATGATCGGCATATTGAGGTTGAGGCACGAATAAACAATTTTTCTTAATTCAGTTCCCTGAGCCTGGCGCAACGTCTTGGACACTGATTAAAAAAAAAACGGAACAAACTCGGTTAAGCCTTTTTTATTGTTAGAAAATATTATGGACTAATGCTTAGAGCATTTCCAGGTTGTACTTTAACCTTTTATCGGCAAAGCAGCAATGTAAGGAGCTTTGGTTGAATTTAATTTGAAAAGATACTCAGTTTCGCGTTTCTTATCTTTGCAGGGTACTTAACTTGAACGTTAAGGATAAGTTGGGTTGATATGAGTAAGTCAATGTTTTTCTTTTTGCAAGCTAATCAGTGTCCAGCGCAATATCTAATATAGCAGCATCTACTGATTCCGCGCATAACGTCCAATTAACACTTGTCGTTTCATACTTTGAGGAATCAAATAAACGGACATATGATGAAGGCACTCCTGTTATTGATAGTGGCACTCACACATTGTTGACAATACTGACAAAAGAAATTAATTTTCCTCATTTAAGTTGTAATATTTCTCTTTTGAATTCTCGGAGCAAAATACCACTTTAGGATTAGTAATTGTGGTAACAGAGTTCATATTATGTCCACCATTACAAATAACAGATTGAAGACTGAACGCTAGCTGAAGCAGAGATCCAAGTGCTCGCCCTAGTTTCTCTCAGTTGATTGTTAAAGTGGAACTGACTGTGGCGAGGCCTAGGGATGTATGATATTGCGGCTTGAGCAAGCATGATGAGTGCAGTCTATACTACAACCTGCTGAAGATAGCCAAGAGAAGAGCTATAGAGTGCAACAGCCCCAGGGACAAAATCAAAGAATGAGTTCCTAGTTTTTAACTTCTCTTTCAGAAAATAAATTGATGTTATAACGTTCTTCTGCACAAAATTAACTACAACCCATTCATTAAGCACTTAAGCTGTTGCTATTGTCAAGCTTTCTTTTTAAACTTAATGTGTATATATTTCTGTAAAATTGTAAATATGCGAGTCATAATAAAGTTGTTGTTGTCATAATATCGTATTTAAAATAGCGTAGAGTAATTGCCAGATCCGTAAGGAGATGTTCAACTGTGCTGGTAAAGTTCAAAGCTGGAAGCCGATTGCTCCTCTTTAAGAACTTTAGTGTTGTATATTTTCTCCCTATGACCATAGAAAACGTTAGCTAACTAAATACACCGGAACCTCTCCTAACGGAACCTCTATAATACGGACTCCTATTAATAACGGACAACACTAGGTCCCAGTGAAACCAGAATTGATACAGTCTCCACCTCTAAACTACAGACACCAATATATATATGTATAGTGTAGCATTTTTTGATCACCAACAGACTGCTAACTCCACGGTAAAGAACAAAACATGAACAGCTGAATTTTGTAGCTTTGAAAACGACGTCTATATGTGACGAGGATCTCTTTGCGGTGGAAAGAAAAACTACGCAAAATTAAGATCTGAGACATGTTTGTGACATCAAGTGCATTTAAAGCTGA